GCATCACTCAAAAATGGTGATATGCCCGCATTCAAATATATTATTTTTCTAGTTAAGTTGTATTTTCCTTGGGAAATATCTAAAAACAAACGTTAACACAAAATTAAGTCATAACAAGTAAGAGAAGGGCTACTTGTACTCTTGCAACTTGCAAGAATGGAAGTCCGGTAAATTCTTTCAGGTGCTGTCAAAACTTTATATTATATTAAACAAGTCGGAAGGGCTAAGTTCAACTTGAAAGGATCAAATCCGGAAAAACACCTCCAGGTATAGGTAGTATTAAAAAACCAATTTCATTTATATTGATCGCCAAACTATTAATATAATTTTAAAACCTTAAAAAAAAATTGTATTAAAATATCATACATCAACCTAAACGGTTTGAAGCTAGGTGGAACGTCCGAAATCATTATATAAGGTATTTTGGGGCAAGGAAATGAAAGAACTGATTGCATTAATTTTTGACATTGTTCAGGTATACTCAAGAACTTATTTTGATGCAATTTTTTTTTATTATTTTTTTTATTATTATATTTGGCATGTGGGGCTGAAACAGTTATGGTCCGATTTTGACGATTTTTACACCTGATAACGATGGCATACTTCAAAGTCTCTATTTGCGCAATGATTTATCCGAATACATTCATTAGCGCTTGATTTGTATACTGGGAAGTGAAAATATCAGATGGAATTTAAAGTTGTGTTATACAAGTACTTGTATGGGAGGTAGGTGTGGTTGTAGACCAATTTTCGCCCAGAGATTTCAAAATTTTTTGTCCTGTGCAAATTTGGGCGATAAAGCTTGAATGGTTTGGGAGATACATATATAAATTAAACCTATTAGGGTGTGGTTTGAAAACCATACAAGTAGGTAGTTTTGTTATTGCAATTCGTTGAACCAAATGACAGTTTTGTATTTGCGGCTTAGTTATGGCAATTTATAAGTTTTCGATTAATGGCGTTTTTCTTTCGTCATCCTGATCATTTATATACATATGTATAACTCCACATCTATCTCGATTAGTTTTAGGTGATACAAATAACCGTTAGGTGAACAAAATTATTGTGCTCTTTAGCAACATGTGGCAAGGGTATAAAAATCCTTAGCTTGTTGATTGTTGTAAAAAAATTCCTTAGTCTATTGATAGTTGTTTCCTTTTTCATTTAAAAGTCTTTAGTTTGTTGAATGCTTTACTTTTTCTCTTATTTAACACGCGTTCTCCACGTTAGGTGGCAAGTATTTAACAACGGTGTAACAAAATTTAGAACTGTTAAATGTAATTTAATTTATTTTAATTTTTTAATTCGCCTGACGGTTTTGAGTGTGAGTAAAAAACTGAGCTGAAAATTATTCTCTACTCAGCTCAGGCCACGCACAGATCACTCCAAGATGAATTTCGTGAAGGTTGCCCGGAAATTATTGATGCTGTGCGCAAACTGTATCGCAAGATCAGCATATGACATATCGTGAGATTGAGACAACTATAGGCATTAATGGGACCAGCATACATTCAATATTGCATGAATATTTGATGGGTCCCACATAATTTGTCAGTCGCGCGAAAAAAGGCTCGTGTCGATTGGTCGAGAGAAATGCTAAAAAAAAACAATAGCGGTGCTTCGAAACACGTCTATGACATAGATGAGCAGAACCCAACAAAAGTTCTTCGCGCACAAAGCACTTCCAAGCAAGTGGCTGCCTGTTTTGTTGTAAATCTGGACATGTCGCAACCATACCACTAGAACCACGCAGAATAGTAAATTCTGAGTGGTACACAACTATTTTTTTGCCAGCTGTCTTTCAAGAAATCACGAAAACCAGCCGCCAAAGACGAATCACCCTTCACCACGACAATGCGAGCTTTCACACATCGACTGAAACATCTGCATTTTTGAGCACTCAGAACATCGATTTGATGGGTCATCCACCGTATAGTCCTGACTTGGCACCGAATTACTGCTTTTTATTCCCGTACGTAAATAACAAACTAAGAGGTCAACGTTTTTCGACACCTGAAGAGGCGGTTGATGCGTTCAGAACGCATGTTTTTGAGATACCTCAATTAGAGTGGCAAAAGTGTTTCGAAGTTTATTCATACGCATGCAAAATTGTATACTCGTAGATCTTAATGAAGAAAATTTTGAAAAATAATTTCGATGAATAATATTTGTTTTTGTTCTCGAATCGAATAGTACATTAAACGACACCACATAATTTCTATGGTTTCTTGAACTCTATTGTAGTACAGAACCTATTGCTTTGGAACAAAAATTCAGTTGACACACATATGGTTTCCGTAGGATACTAAAATATGTACTCTATGTCTGCCTTTGGCAATGCATACAGTGGCGAGCAATACTGGTCGTATGATTGTCAAAATTTAAAGTAAGATGCTACAAAAAATTCAATAATTATTCAATTTGCTTGAAATTTTTAATTTTAAATGATTATTTATTGTTTTAAACGTAAAACAAAAAAATTAGAAAAAGTAACATAAACTAATTATTTCTTGCAAAATATCTGAGTTTAATGAAGTAGATTTAATATTGTCAAAATAATTAATTATATCTGCAACAATTTTTCTATTTGGTAAAGTTTAATTTTTTTCACTTTTCAAGTATGGGTTTCAGTTCATCCTCAGAGCTAATCTTATGTTAGAGTGTAGGCGTTCCTAACCATTTAATTTTATATAATTTTAATTAAATATGTTTTGCTAAATTTTAATAATAAAATCTATTACCTTGGTTGTAAATAAACTGCAAACATTCAAATTAGTTAATAAAAATTCCAATTGGTTTGATAGTGTAGTCAGGATCTTTCGCTTTAACCCATCCAAACTTTATTAAATTTTTTTACAAAAATAATACAATTTTTTCTTTGTAGTTTAAGCGTATATGCTGGATTAAGTTCTTCAAACATGGAAAATGGAATGGTTTCGCCCGGAATTTCTTCACTGTTTCCATCGCTGCCATCTCCGTTATCAATGTCAAAGTTTCTATAAACGTCTAAATCTACAAATATTTTAAAACTAAATATTAGTATATTCATAGATTCTTAATATTTGCCGTAATGTCCATTGTTACAAGTAAATTCTGTTTATTTCAAACGATTTTAGAGCATCTATTTCAATATTCGTCATATTGAAGTCGATATGGTTCATCACTATTTTTCATCGACAAAGAGGGCATTATACAAGTAGAGTGTGCATACTTAAAATCTACTTGAAAACTTTAACTTATCGATTATCAAGTTTAGATGTCATTGAGGATCGAAGTTTAGCTCTTTTTACGATTTCTTCCTTCAAATTTTTTGACGGTTGAATTTGATGCGAACAGTTTTGAACAACAGATCTATCATTATCCGAAATCCTCTTCATAAGATTGAGAGGACATCTATTTATTGCGACTAGCTCGATGCAACAAGCTACCAATTCTTGTGAATGACTACAGTGGCTGAATGTGGTTTGAGTATTTCCCAATATTATATTAGTTGACCTTTCTTGCATTTTAACTCGGAAATTTCGCCAATGATTTTTTCTTAACTCGTTAAAATAAACTTCTTGTCATACTTAAAGCATGTTGTGTGTGCTTATTGGAGATTTTCATTTTGAAATTTCAATTTTTTTTTGAGTGTATTTTGGTTCCTTTTGCGCATTTTAAAATGACATCGGGTTGGTTATCTTGATTCGGCTCAAAGCCCGCAAAAAGAGGCTATTCGGTCTAAAAACTGGTGTAAAAAAAACTGTATTTGTGCATATAGCAATTTACTTTAAAATGCAATTCATCGCCTTTAAATGGCATTGTAAGTTTAAACAATTATCAGACCCCTTCTAAGTAACAGCATTTTCCAAATCTCCCAATTTATCTCAATTAAATACAATAACTTTCCAAATTAGTGAATAACAAGTACGAAAGGACTAGGTTCGGGTGTAACCGACCATTTTATACTTTTGCAATTTTCAAAGCTCAAAGGTTCCAGTTTCGCAAAACCTTAAATGTTGTTGTTTTGTTAAAGTCAACATTCATTGTTGTACAAAATGGTCAATGTAATTCAATCCTATTTGGCATATTATTAAGATATATGATAGGTTTTAGACTCACATAGTTTCATTACTATTATTTTATTCGTGTCCGAGATATTTATATTAAAACCAACCTAATTAACTCAAATTAATATACGAGTATGTGATATAAACACAACCAAAGAGAGGATCAGAAATCATTATATTAAAAATATGAGGTATATAGCAAGGTCTAGACCTATTTAATTTGTATTCACCGCCACATAATTTTTAAGATAACTTGACAACCTATCCACTTACATATTGAGTAACATAAATGGTTTAAAGTCAGGGAAAAATCAGAAATCCTTATATAAGGTATAAGGTAGGGGAAGATTTGCGCTCATTGCATTACCTTTTGGCTTAGTTTAAGTATACATGTTTGCACTCAGTTTTATGAAGATAACTAACACGCAAACAACCATAAAGTCTGCTAGAGTAACGATAATGTTATATTTAGTAGTAGGTATGGTATGTATATGAGAGCCGTGGTAGTTCAGGGACCGATTTCTCACATTTATTAAACGATAGCATATCCAGTACTATACGTTTACTTAATTTACTCATTGACTGATATAGACCGTACAAAGCTAACTGGAAGTTTAAAATTCTTATATATATATATGGAGTATAGACACATGTTACCAAAAACAGCTGACCTTTGAGTTTCTTTGAGATAACTCACTTATGACCGAAATATACGGAATAAATTCAAACGAAACTTTTTATATAAGTATGTGGGGGATATGAAAAGCATATGCAAATTTGGTTGATATTGGTGAAGTATTTTCTGAGACAAATGATTTCACCTAAAGGTTGGCGGTGCCACGTCTAATGTCGAGTTTTAATACCGGCTGTTATAAGGCCCTTCGGTACCACCATAATTCTGAAATATTAATGCTTCTGACGTACATATTTATTTAGTTAAGCTAACAAAACTATTATACTCCGTAGCAACATGTTGCGAGGGTATAAAAAGATTTATTTGATATATTGCTTTCAAGGGATTTAGAGTATTTAGGTAGATATGTATATATATTTAATCCTCTGCTTTGGACATTGTATGATTTAAGTTGAGACGAGGATCTCTCAGAAGAGATTTTTTCACAGTTTCATATTTCTTTTGTGATTCTTCATGTGCTAAAGTCAATCGTTGTTGAATCATTCGCTTGTGTAAGGCGATGACGTCTGCTTGCTCCACAAGTTTCTCATAATTATAGTTATCAAACTGGTCTTCAAATTTATTTAAAAAATTTTGAAGTGACTTAGCTTCAGCAGTAAGCTGAAAATAAATATTAAAAACATGTCACCAGTATAATTTTAGCTTAGTATAAATGTTCTCATACATCTTCGTATTGACGTTGAAGATCATTTAATAGCCCCACAAACCGGGTTTTGAGTTCATATAAGCATTCGTTGTAAGCTGCCCATGATTCTTCATATGTGAGTGACCGCTTTTTGTATGGTATTAAATACGGCGCCAGAAAATCTGCTGGTTTGATCGACATGTCGTATTTAAACGCTTCTTCTTCAGCAGCCTGAAAACATGATTTATTTTAAATAAAAACAGTTTTAGTAAAATTGTTTGACAACAGATAGCTGGGCGATAACTGCTTAGAGTATAAATCAATTCTTACGACTACGTAAATAAACATTCTAATAAATTCGAATGAGCTTAATTAATTAATAAATAGAATCTTATGTTTACAAAATAATTATATCAGCAAGTGTGGTTTTCCAGTTAACTTGGATTTCAGATATACAAGTAGTTATGTGAGATATCCCTGCAAACCTTTGAAGACCAATTGTTTGTCAATGTTTTAAAGTAGAAACGATGAGATCCCTAACGACATTTTGTGCTGTACGGGACCATACCAAAAGTTAAACATCACATTTTTGAGATTGTTAGGGATTGTTTTGATTTAGTTCTGCAAAAATGCAGTGATATGCATATATGTATTTATTGTACTTTGTTGTAAACTTTGTAGGTGTATAGGTATTATGTATATTATTGTAGAAAATTGTACGTATATTTAAGTTATTTACTGAGTGATAAGTAAGTGTTTAAAATGTAGTGTTCAAGAGTTCATTAAAAAAATTGAAATTACACCGATACGTCTACGAGTATGCTGTGTTTGTTAAAAAGTGGTCGTGGGCTCACCCCCTTTCAAACTACTAATCCTATACCATCCAATCTTACTGGTAACATTTCGCTTTATCATACATTACTTGGAAACTACTAAAAGTTTTACACCAATTTCCACCATAATGGTGTGTATCATGACCCTGACATGCTTATGTTACAGTTTTTAAAATGGGTGAAATCTGTGCACAACCGCACCTACTTCTCATGTAACGTAATTTTAAATTTAATCTGATTCTTTTACTTAACAAAAATCGAAGATGAGCCAAAACGCCTCCAAGTACAGCAGCTGTCAAAAATTAACATTCAAAATTGCCGACTCTGTCAGCATAAGTAAAGGATATGAGTACAAACATAAAGCAACAAAACAATCGAAATCAAATGCACGTGGCCCGCGAAAATTCAAAATTCGCGATCATTTTTGAACAAACCTCGTAATCCAATTAAATGGTAATTGCATAAACACGGATGTATTTATGTAATAATGTCTCGCAACATCTTTGCACATTGATAATAGTTGTCTCCCTAATGTTTGTTTGTAACAGCTAAAACTTAACCCCATAGACATAGATATACCATGTTTATGTTTCATTTATACTCGATTATATTCTATACGGGTAAAGCCCATAAGCTTAAATGGCAATTACCATATTCTACTCGAAGTGAATTCTGAATGGAGTTAATCTGAGGGCTGCCAAGCAAAACTTTTATCATTTCATCGAAATTATTTAAATAATTTAGTTAATAACAAACAGTAGCCACATATTATAGTACGCTTATTATACTCTTGCAACATGTTGCTACAGAGTATAATAGTTTTGTACGCCTAATGATTGGTTGTATCACCTAAAAATAATCGAGTTAGATATTGCGTTATAACGGGTGATCCAAGTATAGCTCCTTTTTTTTAATAGCTTTTTTTGACAGATCACGCGTGAGTCGAGTCAAGCTGTCACGTTATATTTGTTCAGTGCTGTTTGCCATTTCATCGTGGAACAATGTTTACTAATCGGTTACCCTTATTACGAAAAATAACGTTCTGTAAAGAATATGTTTCGCACGCTTCGCTCAACTTATAGTCAACATAATTGGCCTACTGAGCGTACTATGCGCAGCACCATCACTCATATTGAGACCCAGAATTCATTATTGGATAATATTCGACCGAATAGACCACGTCCAGCACAGTGAAGAAAATGTAGCGGCCTTAGCTGAAAGTGTACACGAAGATCGTAGAGAATCAATTCGGCGCCGTTCGCAGAAACTCAAACTGACGCATCGGACTTCATAAAGTTCTAAAACAATTATAAATGGAAATTGGGACCAAAAATATACAACCTACTTAAAAACTTTGTAACCAACCGAAAATTTCGGGTTCCTCAAGGTTTTCCTTTATCTGTGGTCATATTTATAATTGTATTTAATGAAATCAGCGAGATACTATTCAATTTCCGAGTCTACTACTGTATGTATGCAGACGACATTCTGATATTTTCAAAACAACTCGATCTGCATAACATCAAATTAACTTTTACGGAAATACTTAATAATATATCCAACTGGTCTCTCACATACGCCGCTAAGTTATCCTTAGATAAATGTACTTGTAATATCTTACATATGTGTCGTAAAAGAAAATGTGATAATATTACTTTCTCTTTTAAAAACATAAAAATACCTACTGTTTATATATCAGAAAAAATTTGTTCGATAGGTTAAATATAATGAAGTTTTTAGCTTCACGACATTATTTTGCTCATCCTACAACATTCATCGATATCGTGAGATCGTTACGATCAATTATCGATTATGGACTACCAATCTACGGACATCACGCCGGCAGCGAGCTAAAGAAACTACATGCGCCTAATCACATGGCAGTAAGACATAGTCTTAGGGCATTTCCAACTTCCAGCATCAAAAATATTCTCGCTGAATTCGGAATTCCACACATTAACGAAAGGCCAGAGGTTTGCCGCTGATACCAAAGGTATATTTATAATATCCACCTTTCACCCAACCGTTCGAAGATTAGCAAGCATCCACTTTTCTGTTATAGAAGACAAATTGATGAGCTGAAACAAAGCTTCCACGAACTACGAGGTCTTTAAACAATTGGTTATGCAACGCAAGACAGATCTCAATTCAGATGGATGGAAATTCATCATAAATCCCGAAAAAAGAAAAGCAGCATACCCCTCCACATGCAGCATCCCGAAGATTATAATTTTCACACGACTTCGTTTAGGAATCTTAACGACCCAACATATTCTGGAACGTAACATAACGCCTGGCTGCCGGCTATGCATCAGTCCAACAAATTCTGTAGAACACATATTGAACTTATGTCCTACCTTTTGTAATATACGACGAGGCTATGTCGAGTCTTCTCAATCGAAACTCCTCAAAGAACCGTCAACTGCTAACATAAAAAAATCTACAATTTCATCTCCAGATCCCAATTAAAGCATCTTATCTAAATTTAGCATAATGAAATCTTACCACAATGTCCTATACCCTCCATACTCTATAATTTTACATTAATTCAATTTCTGTATATATTTGTATTATACCTATTACATATATTTGTGATATACCTAACATATATTGTTCCCACTAATTCTAAGCATAATCATAAACATTAGTACAATATATATTTAATTATAATTATTAGTTATAGTATTATATATAAGTACATACATATTCATAACTAATATCTCACACAAAAGAGTAAAACCCAAAGTAAGCCCACAGCTGAAGGCATTGTCGTTAGTGCTGTTATATTTTATTGGTAGTATAATTATTTATAATTATATTTCCTTTAATAAATAAATAAGTAAAAATAAATTTCCACACAGATTGGCCATACATAAGGTATAAAGGCAACCTCAATATTAAATACTTATATTAAGTAAATAGGAGCTATGGGAAGCATTTATCAGACCAGAAGTGCCAAAATACATTATTACCAGAAAAAGGCTTTCTCCAAGTTTCATTGTTATATCTCACAGATTGAGTGCGATATTCAGTAAAAAATCAGCCATAGGCTCAGGTTTGTATATTCGGATTGTTGAGGCCTGATAAGTTATGATCCGATTTCGGCTATTTTTAGACGTGAGATGTAATATCTTGAGGGCAGAATTTATGCAAAGTTTTATTCCGCTTACTACATTGGGGTTTGATTTGTATACTGTAAAATGAAGGAGTTAGATGGAATTTAAAAGTTTGTTATATGGAAAGTAATCGTGGTTGTATTCCTCCCATTTTCGCATGTTAACATAGGATAGGTAGGACAATGTAATGTGCCAAATTTTATTGCATAAGGTCCAGTAGATCCTGCGCTCTGAAATTTCTCCTAAAGGTCGATGCCATGCCCATTTCCACTGGCTCCTCTAAAGCCCTTGCGTGCCATATAGATTGTGCTTCTGTCGTACTTAGTGAGTTATAGCGCAGTTAGTAGTTATCTATCCCATTTCACCCATTTTCACACCGTTTTAGGAACTGTTAAAAGGACACAACCTAAGAAAGTTTGGTTGATAAAGCTTTATAGGTTTGTAAGATATACACATTAAATCAGTTAGGGGCGAGACTACGCCCACTTTTTATAAATTTTAGCCCACAAATAACAGATTTGTATCTTAGTTTGCGACTATGTCCATCTGAAAACTTCTCCTCTCTTTTTTGCCAGGGAAAACGTCTATTACGGTTTATGACGATATCTCAACTTTTACTCAAGTTACGGATCGCACAGTCTGACGGACAGACAGAAAGTCAATCGGAATTAAACTCGTCTTGACTTCCTGATTATTTATATACACATGTATGTACATATAACTCCATGTCTATCTCGATAAGTTTCAGGTGATACGAACAACCGTTAGTTCTATTGAATTAACATCATTTTGAGTTAGTACTGTAACACCAGAAAACATTAAAAAATCCACAAAATCGTTCTGAATGATCGGAAAGTGCAGTTGCGTGATATAGCTGACATCGTAAAGATTTCAAAAGAACATGTTAGCTTTATTCTGCATGCTCCTAGCGACTATTGGTTGCTCGCAGACCTCAAAAAAATACTCACCGGTAAGAAATTTCGCTCGAATGAAGAGATTATCCCTGAAACTGAGGCCTATTTTGAGGAAAAAGACAAATCGTTCTACAAAAGTAGTACTGAAATGTTAGAAAGGCGCTGGAATGATTGTGTTGCTCTTGATGAATATAGCCAATGTTGAACAAAAAAAACTGTGCTTTCTTTGTTAGCCTGGTCATTTTCAGCCCATGTGATATGCTCTGGTGCAACCCGTTGCATGAGTATAAATATTATAAATTTGTTTTTATTAACACTCAAGTTTGCTTTCGTCAAAATGTCTGTTAATGAATTAGAAATACCCGGAAATTTGACTGCTGATA